TGAAATCCTCTACAATGTCTTTTTTCAGAGTACTGTAATTTTCCTTGAAAAGATCTTTGACTTCTTTAGTTAGATTAATTCCAAGGTATTTCATTTTCCTCGGTGCTATTGTAAAAGGTATTGTTTCTATAATTTCCCTCTTAGTGTGTTTGTTGGCTGTGTAGAGGAATGCTACTGACTTTTGGGTATTGACTTTGTAACCTGCTATGCTACTGAATTTCTGTATTAATTCTAATAGCTTCTTGGTGGAGTTTTTTGGGTCTTCCAAGTAAAGTATCATGTCATCAAGCAGTCACTTTTCAAAGAGATAAATAAGCCAAAGAGTAGATCCTGACACAGTCTAAGCCTGAGCAACACGCACAAGCTGGTGAGGACTAGGCCACTGTCATGCTACAGGGCCAGCCTTCTGAGCACCACCACCAGTAGCACTCCCTAGGTGACCAGTGACAAGCAGACGACGCTCAAATGAATGAGAGCAGTTTCTAATAATGTTCCCCCTCAACATGGCAGGGAGCCAGGGCTTTTTCCAACCCAGTCCCAAGATAAGCACTTCACAGTGGAGAGGGGCGGAGCCACTTTTCTTTCTTTGTCTTCCCAGAGACTGTGACAACTTGGTGAGAACAGCATGTCTTCCCACCAGCGTAAATACTTTATGAATGCCTTTTTGTAAACCTTCCTGTCAGAGGGAATTACTCTCCAGAGCAATTGCCTGAGCCATTGTAGCTGGTGGCCATTTGAGCCCCCAAATAATTCTATAATTGGATTTGCCAGGGAAAATGTAAAACAGAATGAAACTAATTCAGGTATTACCAAGAGTGAATGTGCAGGGCCCAGGCACCTATTTCTTTCCTGTGTTGGATATGACTAATAACTCAGATTAATCAATTTCCCTGCGGGGAATAAGGGGTGGATGCAGGTAGGAGGTGAGGTGGAGCAGGCAGGCGGGATGGAGAGGGAATGGCAGAAACTGCTGTTTGCTCTGCAAATGGAAGCCCACATGGTACACGGTGTCCTGATACGCTGGTGGCCACAGCAGGCTACAGTGGAATGAGACACGGACTAGGGTCTAAGGACTCCAGGGCCACCACCCAAGTACTATCTTTCCAGAACTCAGGAATCTCATTGTTAAAGATGGATGACATCAGAGTCCCTGCCCATGTCAGAGCTTTGCAATGTTAAACTGGGTGTGCTATGCAAAATAAAACTGTAAAATGTGACTGCTAAAGATGATGAAAGCAACTATTAATAAATGATGAGGCACTGAACAAGGCCCTGTTCATAACACTGCCTCATTTCATCTCTAAATGACCGTGTTTGGGGAAAGAATTAAGAATGGGAGGGGTGGAGTGAAATGACCAGTCGCAAAACTAAGAGGCGCAAGAACTGGGATCTACACTGAGGCCCATCCAGCATCCGGGCAAACCCAGGCCTTTCCAGGGCCCCGTACTGCTCTCAGGCACATGCTTCCTGGAATGAGGAGATGCTCTGGAGTCTCTTGGATAGATGTCCAAGAGATGCTCTTGAGCAAAAATATGCCAGAACAGAGGATACAGAGTCTGCCAGCTTTGGGGCAGTGAGAGCGAGAAGAAGAAGACATACTAGCATTTGCGTTTTTAAAATAATCACTCTGAGGATACAGAAGAAAATCAACAAAAGCTGGGAGGAGGGGAACAAGGACAGGGTTAATAGGTCAAGTATGAAGGTTTGAATTTTTGAACTCTGTGAATGTCTTCCTGCAGGAAAAATACATTTAGTTTTCATGGAAGATCATGCCATAGAAAGGTAACTGTGGGGCCAGCGATGTAGCTCAGTGACACAGAAACTGCCTGGCAGCACAAGGTCCTGGATTCAACTCCCAATACCTAAATAAATAAATGTGACTGCAGTTATGCGGGAATACTGATGCCCTTTTGATTGGTATGGGAGACTTACCAGACTGCTAAAATGTGGATACTTTTATAATCCATTTTTTACAAAAAGACAAAATATGGCTTTTAGAATATTCTATTCTAAAATACTTACCTGTATCTTTATGGCCTCCCCAATCCAATGAGGAGCCAGCTACAATTCAGGATGCCAGAGGCTGGCAGACTTCTGAAATGGTGGAGAAATTAACATTTATCAAGTACCAGCCTTGGCCACAGACTGCTTATTCAGGCAAACGTGTCACAATAAAGCACTCCCAGGCTTATAGTGCCTTGTGGGAAGGTCGTGCCTTACCTTGATCAAACTCAGACCCTTGCCGTTCTAGCTGTTTCCGTAGCTTCTCATTTGTTTTAATAGATTCTTCTAAACGTTTTCTTAAAGTTCGAATTTCCTGAATATGTTCCATTAGCAAATCTACAGGAAGGAAGGACATTTTTAATTTAAAGTCTGAAGCCCCCAACAAATTGAATAATTTATAGATTATGCAGAGATCTTGAAATTCCAAACAGCACTGGATGTATTAAGATAGTTGGCAACTGGCAACTCTTTCCTAGGCTGGGGGAGACTGAGCCACTTCCCACAGCCTGCAGACACAGCTCTGTAATGATTCTCCGCAGCCCTCTATGAGGAAGCTATTTCACATCACACGGAAAAATTATATTCCATACAATTTTAATGCTAACTCTAATGTAGCCTTTATTCTTCTCAATATCAAATATTAATTTAAAATCTTCCTCATGGTGAAACTAACAGATCACTTTCAAGTCTGCCTGAATTGCCTGAGAGTTGATTTAACTACCTCCATAATGAATCCAGATATTTTCAGGACTAATTTTTTGAAAGGAATACGTTATCCATTTATCACTTATTAATTCAAGTCTTAAAAATAAAGCAAAACAATACCAGCAAGAATGTAATAAGGGTGATCTCAGGAGTGTATCCTGTTAGCCTGAGTAAAAATGGCTATGATCTTTTGAGACTATTTATATCTTTAGCCTTAGAAAAGGTCTTTTCCAGTGTCTTCACCAAATAATTCTACTTCTAGGACTCTAAAGAGATCACTGAGAGACTGACAAGTATTTGTCAGAATGCATGAAAATGTTCATCTCAGCATTGCATGTAACCGTAAAAGCAAAAATAACTCAATTTGTTAAACTGTAGTATATCCTTTATGATGCAGTATTATACAACTACTAAAATTATGTTATGAACACTATATAATACCCTGGGAAAATTATGTTATTATGTTAAATTTTAAAATAGATATAAAATTCGTTATTCAACACAACATGTAAAAACTAACACAGGCATGGAAGACAAATATACAAAAGAAGGAAATACACATAGGTATGAACAGCAGCGAATATCAGGGTGATGGATTTTGGACTTTTCAAAATTTGGTATTACATTTTAACATAATCCTTAATGATAGATAAAAACTTTAAATTTCCAAATTTCCTAAAACAAGCACCTCTTATCTCGCATCCTGTCACAGCTCACTGCAACAAAGCAAGAGGCAAGCACAGCTGCAACCCAGAGGTAGCTTTCTAGAGTCAGTGTTTAAAGCATAATCACATTAAGTATCCAAAGGCAAAACTAATGCCTTTAATTCATCAATTAGGGTACACTCTGTATGTCTTGGTAATGTTTGTTTTAAAACATTATACTAATGTTATAACCCAGTTTTAATTCCTCCAAAATGGCTTTCATTTAAAAGTAGCACAATGTTACAGATCTTTTCCTAATTAAATAGTAATTTTGCCATGAATTTGAATGTTTATGAGATGACTTAATTCCCAGACCTTCAGCTATCTCCCATTAATGCCAGAAGTGAGGCGAGTCCCGGGTGGAATATCTGCTGTGTGTGCTGCAGTACAGCACCGAGGCTCTGCCCGCAACCCGGTTTTGGCCCATCCAGCCCGGTACCCCCGTCCCCACTTTGCGGCCCTGAGGTCTGCTCCTAGCGGCTAGGCCAGAGTTGGGCAGCAACAGCGTTACTGCAACCATCCTGCTGGCTTACGTGTCACGCCCCGCTGCCTTGGGGGGCAGGAGTACCTCGTGGCCATCAAGACACCCACTTCTGCTGAGTCTGCCTCAGGAGCTGGGCCAACACTCAGGCTGCAGGAATCGCGCCCAGTCGAACTGGACACCACTTATTAATTATGCAGTGACAGAGAGGGGAAGGAAACACGATACTGTACCAGCCTTTACAAACAGGAAAAGAAATGCCTGTCTCTCTTACAGTAAATCCTTCTGATAAATGTACTCTTTAAAATCATAATCCTATAAGAAGCAGTCACTACACACACATTGCATAGACATCCTCACACACACACACACACACACACACACACACACACACACATACACACACAGCCCACGCACAAAGTATCTTTTACCTAGTAGCTCCAACTTAGAGAATCCATCTTAAGAACATGACCCCAAATAAGGGAAAAGCTTCATGTTCAAATATACTCCCTATAGCACTGTTTACAACTGTGAATTCTGGAAATGGCCTTAATGTGCAGCAGCAGGGGACCGTAAGGAAATGCAGTGGGCTCTCCTGAAGCTACCAAAACTGACATTATCTAAAACACGTCAGGAAGCTTCTGATAGGATGTTAAATGAGAAAAGAAAAAATACTGAACTAGTTCCCTACGTAATTATAAATTGACAAAAGGAAAAACAGATGCAGACTAGAAAAGGCTAAGACAAATAAACTTAAGATAATGGTGGATATGCTGGGGCGGCTGTAAAGCACCATTGGCGTGCGGGGCACAGGGAGCCAAAGCCACAGGTCCCTGGAGGAGCAGACGCAGATGCCTACACAGCTAAGAAGGCGGGCAAGGCAGCAGGGTGAGAGAAGCAAAAGAGTCATGTTCTGCTCGGAAGGAGGCTCCATCCACCTGGGTCCACAACCCCCACGGCACTGAGTCCACACCGAGGCCTCAGAGGAGTGGTCTGGGGACGCTGGGAGAAGGACTGAGCTCCACGCTGGGCTCACACAGGCGGTGGCCCCGGGGAGATCGGGAAATACTTTGCAACCTGATCTAAATTCAAAGAAGCCACAAAAGACCTAAAGAAATCAAGGAATCAGAAACCTACAACAATGCCAGAGGGATCCAGAAAGCCCAAGCAGCGTGGTCCAGCCACTTGGCTGCAGGGTGAGCTGAATCACACCAACACCGTGAGCTTCCTGTCCCAGCAAAGTCTACACTGTGGCCTCTGGGCATCCAGGGAAATGGCCGGGGGGCCACTCTGGTGCACAGGTCCCATTCTGGTCTTCATGCTGTGTTGGTGGGACCTCCTTATGCATTTTCATCTAAAAAGTGGGGTCTTGTTGCTTTGACAAGATTTCAAATCTTTTCACACCAGGACCTATGTGACCGGCTGTCAACAAAGAGCTTTGGGTAGGAGCACTGCCTGCTTTGTGCCGTGCAGCCCACACTGCTACTCATGGAATAAAGGAGAGAACAGAGACCTAGGGGAGGTCCGGACTCTGCACCTACTGACCGCCTGCTAGCTGCAGCCCAGGGCCAAACCTTCTGCACACAGTGCTGCTGGCCAGGGCCGGCCATCCAGGTGCATTACCTATGTGCTGTCATGGCAAAGCTGGGCAACAGCAATGCAGGCCGCACACCCTGCAGAGCCTGGAACATTTACTATCTTTGCCTTTATAGGAAGAGTTTGCCGAGCCCTGGTCTATGTGGTCTGGCCTAGCCAATCCCTTGACTCTTAGAAATATGCTGAATTATAAGCATTAAACCTTGCATTTTACCCTAACAGGAGGGAAGCAAGATTCTAAGTATAGCCAAATGTGGTGGTCACACTTGTAATCCCAGCACTCAGGAGGCTGAGGCAGGATAACTGCTACAAGCTCAAGGCCTACCTGGGCCATACAGTGAGTTCAAGGCCAGGCCAAACTACACAGCAAGACCCCGAAGACCAAAAAGACCAAAAAGTCAAAAAATAAACAAACAAAAACCTAACCAGCCAACAAAACAATAAAAAAAAAAAAAGGCCTCCACATACAGGAAAGGTGACAGGATGAGGGACACTGTGGTGGGCTCCTGGGAATACTGATTTTACCAGCTCAGTTCATGGTAAAGACAGCACAAGGGTGTTAAGGTCTGAATGTCCATGTCTCCCGCAGCCCTTCCTGCCAGTGTGATGGAGGCAGGAGGTGATGGCCTCTGGGACGTGAGCCATGATCACTGCCCACTGCTCTTGTGACAGAGATTCCAGAGAGCTCTCCTGCCTGCTTTCCTCCACGTAAGCAGGCCATGAGGAGACAGCATGCTGACCTGGAAGGGGACCCTCACCAGGACCCAACCATGCTGCCTAGCACCTTGAGCTTGGACTTCCAAGCTCCAGAACCATGAAAAGCAAATGTCTGCTGTTGGTAAGCCACCCAGCCTATGTCTTTCTGCTACGGTAGCTTCAATGGGCTGACTCAAAGGGCCTGGCCTATGTGCCAAGTGTCACACTAAGAGAAACAAAGCAAAAGAGAAATCACAAACTTGTACTCAGACCAAATAATCAGAACAGGGGGCTGAACACTCTTGGATATCTACAACGCAAAGCAGAAGCAGCTTCAAACTAACACTGCCTGAGGGTGAGAGAAACAAAAGGAAACTGACCGAATTGGCACTGACTCTGGACTGCAGTGTTTTCCAGTCTGTCCCTGCCAAAACACCATCATTTAAAGAGCAAAAATGACTTCTCCCCAGCCACCCACACTTCCACCACCACAGCTTTCTCCAGTGATAGAGATGTCACCCCTGGCCCACTGTGGCCTCCCTGTTGCCTTTTGTCTGAGGAGGTCCCCACACTCTGCTTACCCAGGCAAGGCAGCAGGTACAGTTTAAAAATGATCATGGTATGACGCCTATCAAGGCATAGCTTACCTTGAGAAAAATGGTTCATCATCATTTTCACCTTCTCGGTCTCACTGTCTTGCTTCTGGTCTCGTGAGAGGGAGGACTTGTCGGATATTTCATCATCAGACAGCATGTGAGAGGCAGAAGGCTCAGGAGAGTCAGGCAGAATATGCTGGTAGGTTAAGTTGTCTTCTTCAATCCTTAACCATTAGGAATGAGAGATTTGTCATTTTTCACAAGCTAGGGCCACAGTGTGAGAATACTCAAGGTCACCCTCCCTGTGTAACTCCCATGTTTGCAACTTACTCAGCCCTCTCATCTCCCTACAGGGCTAAGTCCTGGACATCTGAAACCTGAAGGAGCTCCGCAGACTGTAGTGTGGAGCCAAGAAAGAAGGCAGTGAAGGACCATGCTTGCCCCAGCTCTGGCTTGTAGGGGAGCAAACAGAGAGGGCACGCACGGGTCAGCTACACCACTTACCAAACTTCCACTCTGGACCAGACACTGGATCTGACGGGGTCCTCATAGACACACTCTGAGGAAGACAGTGCTACCTGCACTCCTTTGGAGCTGGGGACACTGAGGCCCATCGTAAAGCAGTCTCAGCTCATCAGATGCACCACTCCGATTTCCTCAAGACCTATCTGACTCCGAGGACCCTGGGAGAGGCGGAAGGCTGGCCCAAAGCCATGAAACAGCCTTATGGAATTGCAAACCTCAAAGCCTCCTGGTCCCTAAGCAGTTCCAACAGCAGCACTCCAGCAATCATGCGGTTATTAACCTGTATTTCCCGAGGACCACCTATACCACGAGGAAAAACAACCCCAATGCTGTGGAAAGTCCACGTGAATCTCCATTATAGATAAGCTCCTTAATTTAAGCTCTTTGCTCTCCCACTTTTTCCTATTACTTCTTGTCAGTGGCCACAGTCTCATTATTCACGAGCTCAGACAAGAGCAAAGGACTCCAAAGCTGCAACACATTCATTAACAGGTAAACACCAGCTGCAACTGTGCCCAGACAGCGTGATGGATGCAGAGGCTTGCTGCTGCCCACAGAAGTGCAGATCAGGCCAAGGGCACCTATCTAATGAGCTTGGGAGTGACCCCTCGAGGGCTAAGCCTACAGCAAAAAAAGGTAAAAGAGAAGGAAAAGCAAATCTGCCAGAAATAGAAAGGGAAGACCCTGGTTGAGGAGGCTGAGAGAGGCTCCCCATCTTCCTCCAATGCATTCTCCCGACACACTCGGTAGTCCTCTGGGGACCAGGACTGTGGTTCAGTGGTATGGCACTTGCCTTAGCAGGAACAACACCCTGGGTCGGATCCCCAGAACCACCAAAATAAAATAGTCTTCCAAATGGCCAATCCGATTAGAGTCAGCCCCGCTTCTGACTTCCTCCTGTAGAATAGTGTCGGGACTCTTTCACACAGTATTTGAGAACTAGCCCAATGGGCCCAGCATGCCTCTCTGGCTTCACTGCTGCAAGGGGCCACGTTTCCCCCACCGCCAGCATGGATGCTCTCCCAGCGGCCCTGGGCCCCTTACACTTATTACCTGGAGAGCCCCTCCTTGTCCTCGCCACAGCCTGACAGTGGGGTGTGATCTTTCATTATGAGGACAGAAATAATGGGTTGAACTGGGATGGATCTTTGAGATACTATAGTGAAGAAATGAGAATTTCTTTGAAATTCAAAGAAGCCCTGATGAAAATATTGTCCAGTGAGCTGTGGTACCTCCCTGCCTGCTCAGTGCAGTTTGCTTCGGGTTGGTCTGATAGTTCAGCTGACCAAAGCCTCTGCATAGGCAGAGTGCAGTGGCTGGGGTTTGATCCCTGGCCTGCCATGCCGGCCCCACCCTCAGGGCACACTGAGGCAGCGACTGAGACTGGGCATGCTGGCGTGCACTTATAATCCCAGCACTTGGGAGGCTGCAAACAGGAGGATCACTAAGAGTCCGGTCTACATAGTAAGACCCAGTGACCCTATAAACCCTGTCCTAAATACAGAAAAAAAATTCATTTTTCATCTAAAACTTAAGTCTATTTCTTTATTTTTGCCCCTAGGACTCCAAAGGGCCACATCCGTACAGAGAAGGATGGTATCCAGGGCTCATATAAGCTTTAACAAGTAGAGGAGGGCAAGATGGTGCATTTTCAGCTGGCCATGGAGGCAGGCTGAGAAAGTGTATGAACACAAATAGTCTTCCCTCAGAAGAGCACAGAACAGGAGTGTGTGCTAAAGCACTGGAGTCGGACAGACTCGAGTGCAAGTCCTAGCCCACATACCAGTGCAAATGTGCAGCTCTGACCCTAAATGGAAACAAAAATGCTCCTTCTATTAGTAGGGTGAGAACTAATAGAATGGCACACCTACAGCAGCAGCTGACACACTCCGACACCCAGGTGGCGCTAGGCAGCCCCTGTCCTCCTCTGAGGAGTCTGAGAGCGGCAAGGTGAGCACAGAAAGTACTGCAGCACCATGGGATAGATCGCTGCTTAATGCAATTAGGTGGCGGGTGCAGCGATAGTAACAGACCCTGGGACACGGTGAAAAAGTAGGGCGCTGGGGACAGCCACGTCCATTTCCACTCCAGCGGACTCTGTTTACAGCCACAGGAGGAGGGAGGTGGAGGGTGTGGCCCAGGCACAGCCACAGTGGAACAACACAGAGCCAGGTAAGACCAAGTACAGGGGAAGCGGAGGGGGCGATGGACCAGCCTGAGAAGAGCTCAACACCAGAGCCAGGAGTCTAGGAGTTTTGTCCTGCAGGGACCCAGAAGCCAAGAGAAGGAATCTGTCATGTGGTTCAAAGCACCCAGCAAATGCCAGGCGTCACCTGAATGGCACACAGCATGAACAGGAGGCCACTGTCAACTCTGTACATGTTTATGCCTTATTTAAAGTCACAGAAAATGGAAGAGAATCAGAATATTTGTAAAAATCTGGCAGGAAACCAAAACTCTTCTCAGTATTTGCTGCCCACTTACCTCTCTACTGGCTCTTTCTGGAGACTCAGTTCCATTCCAGCTGATTTCCCTGAAAGCAGACATAACATCAAGAAAGAAAGAAAATCTTTTTAAAGTGTTTCCTAATAATTTCTTGCCCACACATTTGCAGGGGCACTGTTTCGCTTGTTTAAACTCTCCTTACAACAGTTCCAGATAGGGAAAGTGCAATTACCAGCAGTACAGCTCAGATGGCAGGTGCTGGCACTGCTCGGGCACTCGTTCCAGTTGACGCACTGAATCCAAAAAGCAGTCATCGAAGCACTGCTGGGTGCGGTTCCTTTTCCTTCTCTAAAACTCTGATACTAGGGCTGGTCAGATAGCTCAGTGGATTAAAGCACCTGCCTAAGCAGGCGCAGGGACAGAGGTTCAATCCTAGGCATGCTGTGCTGGCCCCACCCCAGGGCGCACTGTGGGGGCGACTGAGACCGGGCATGTTTGTGCACACCTGTAACCTCAGTGCTTGGGAGGCTGAAAACAGAAGGATCACTACAAGTCCAATCTGTGTAGTGAGACCCTGTAGACCCTGTACTAAACACATTTTTTAAAAAAACTTCTGATAACAACAGAATATACACATCATAGGAAAAGGGCAACAGAATCCAAAAAGCTCACTCTCTTCCAGCTATCCTCTGCAGACACAGACCAGAACTAGATTGCTTTCCCTTCTCTCTTGCATGCATTTGGGCAGAAATGAGGCTGCAGTGCCTTAATTTTCTTCAATCTGCACATCATTGCAAGCATTTCTTTTACTAAATTTGCTTTAGAAATCTGAGTTTTTAATGCTTATACTAATATTCCATGGTGGGCACCCATGTACCAGTTTTGCCAGTTCTTTATATGAAATTTAGGTCACCTCCAAATTTTACTTTAATAAATAAATGAAATAAACATCTTTGTGCATACAGCTTTATCTGCATTTAAATTATGTCTTTTGGAAAGACTGTCAGAACTAGGATTACTAGGAAAGGTAGTATTTGAGTGCAGCTGAAAAAAAGAACACTCTCTACAGCAGGCAAAATGACTAAAGGAAATGACAAAAGAAAATAAACTAAAGCGCAGGATGTTGTTGGGCAAAAGACGCTCTGCTCGATCCCTGCATGTCATCATCCGCTGTTTGAAAGGAAGCATGAGCCCAGATTTCAAAGAGACTAACAACTTTATTTTAAAAATACTTCAGAACTCTGGAAATTGCAGACCAGGATGAGCTCTTTGAAGAAACTGACACATGGCTAAAGAAAAAAACAAACACTTCTATAGCTGCACTTGAAAAATGAGACTATAATTAAACTGCACCCACACATACAATTTTTAAAACTACCCCTAAAAGGAAAATTTCTCAAGCCCACAGTGTAGGAAAAGAGCTTGCATGTTTGCTTTCTGTCTGTGGCTCTCACCTACTAGCAGGGCCTGGTGCTGATGTCTAGGCCCTCTCCAAGCCACCAGCCAGTTGCCTGGGTGCCAAGAGCACATACATAACCTAGGGCTCAACAGCCACCTTCTACTGAGGGGCACTGTCACCATGAGGAAGGACTTCAGTGAGCTTCAGTACCCAGGCACCAGGCCCAGTGCAGCTCATTGATTGCCACTCTTTCCTTTCAGCCCCATAACAATCCCAGGCACATGGTGCTGTCACCTCCATTTCCCAGAGAACAGCAGAGGCCCAGGAGGTTTGTGGTATCCACCCTCCACCCCCGCTCACTCTCACTCTCCAGCACTTTACAGATCAGTAAGGGAGGTGGAGGCATCCTGAGATCCAGTGCGATCGCAACTCTATGCCTCTGATCTCTTGGTCACATCCTGGCCCAAAGGGCATGGAGACAGCATGGTTTGCAGGAAGGAGGCAGAGGCAGGCAGACCTCCACCACAGAGGATGCACTCCAGGCCCCATGCCTCTGTCCTCTGCATTCCTCCTCCAGGAGAAATCCACAACTGATGGGGTCAGATTGCAAGGCCATGAATGAAAGTCCCAGACAGGGACAAAGTCCCAGATAGCTACTGAAAGAACAACTCTAGCTGGCAACTTTCACTTCATGCCTGCATCAAGTCTACTCACCAGCACTCAGCTGATGGTAAGATGCTGCCCTACAGACCCTGAGGACGGGCCAGTTGCCCAGCCCACCCTCCAAAGAGACATCTGCAAACTATGAGGCGGAAGGCAGGTGGCAACTGCTTCACATGTACTCATTCTCCAAAAGGAAACTTCACAGGTCTGGACCCTGGGCTTGGGGTGCGTGTCAAACATGCTAAGTCTCCTGACCATTAAAGCCACTTACAGCCATCATTACACTTGATGGCTGTAAGTGGCTTTAATGGTCAGGAGACTTCCATTCCTCATAAGACCCATGACCACAGAAAGAAGTGCTCCAATGCCACCAGCAGCACAAGATTCCCCTTTTTCAAATAAAAGACCAGTTGGGGAACCTGCAATAACTCAACGGTGGCTGTATTCCACCCACTCCCCTGTCACTACAGGGTTCTTTTAAAACTAAATGACAAATGGTTACTGTGGGATTCACAGGGAGATTGTAACAACTGCTGCATTGACTTTCTCGGTGGAAACTGCCTTCACACAGGTGACAGGGCACCATCTGTCGGGCTTAGGATGTAGGTCATGAAAGTGCTGCTCCCGTCTCCCAGGTAAATCCTGTTGTTACACATCAAAGCTGTGTAGCTTGCGGCTGTCGGGTGGCTTCATCTTCTCAAATGAAAACCATTTAGCTGTCCCCTTCCCATGTAAATAAGCGAGAAGACTTACTGTTGTGCAAGGCAGACTTGAGACTGGCCGGCCCACCTTCTGAGGCCTCTCCACACTGTCCCGCCCTGCGCTCACTTGGCGGCCAAGGTGGAGGCTCTCCTACAGCAGCGCTCTGCAGCTCACACCCGTGAGTCCTGCAGAGCACAGCTCCAATAACACAGCCTGGCCTCACCGCCAGCCCGACCTCAGTGCTGCTGCCTCTCACGCTCACATGAGATGTGGATGTTCAGCATCCGCCAGGGGACCGGGCTGGACACTGAGGATCCACAGGAACATGGAGCCACCCTGTCTTCCATGAGTTCACACAAGAGTGGGGACACGGGGCCCAAAAGGCAAGAGTGTAACAGTGCTGGGATGAGGGGCAGGCAGGCAGCTGTAGACGGCCATACAGAGGGCATAAGCATACTGTGGCCTGGGTCACCAGGGAAGACGCAGAGGGGGTGAAGCACAGCTATGCCTTTGAAGTAGGAAGAACTGCTTTACAAAGGGAAGGAGGAAAGGGGCCCTGGGGAAGGTAGGTACCAGGGGTGAGTAGGAATCAAAATCTTCCATTTGATCTGAAGGCCTGGATCACTCTGCCAACCATACCATGGGTACCCTGTCATCATAGTATCACCTCCCAACCTCCTAATATTTGCTGAGGACACCAAACACTCTAAATAATCTCATTTAATCTTCATGACCAACTCTGTTAAGATGGGTGCTACTATTTCCAGTTTTTTTAAATCTATTTATTTGGTACAGGGTCTCACTAGGCAGCTTGGACTCATAGCGATCCTCCTGTTTCACCCTCTGCAGTGCTGAGATTATAGGCATGTGTTTCAGTGGCTGGCACAGCATGCCCAGGGTTCCAGAGCCAGCACAGCAATGTGGTACCAGGGATCAAACCTGGGTCCATGCGCTTGCCTGGTAGGCGCCTAGACCACTAAGCTATCTCCCCAGCTTGGGTGCTCCTATTTCTGCAGAGATAAATGACACTTAAAGAGGTAAAATATCTGCAAATCCAAATATTTGACTCCAAAAGTCTTGTTCTTTCCATCACAAGCTCTTGGGATGGTCTCTATTACATGATCATGTGACTATCAAGCATGAGCTACAAGAACCCACAATGAAGAAAGGGAACCAGAGTCTAATCCCACTTGGGGTGAACAGAGAAACATCCTTAGAGGTAGAATCTCTGAAAGCGGAGGAGGAGGACCACCTAGAGAAGGGGCCTGGGACAGGTGAACACTCAGAGTGGGGCAATTGCAGGGCTGGCCCACGGAAACATTTGATCATGCATCCAACTTGATAAGAGTGTGAGAAGCTGGTTAGTAGTTAAGACAGGTTATGGAAGCAAACTGCCTGGGCTCGAATTAAGACTCTGCTACTCCCTGTGTGACTCTAAACAAATTAATCTCTCTGTTCCTTCTAGCAAATGAGGATACTTCATAATAGTTCCTCATGGGCTGACAACAATGTCTAGCACAGATTGAACACTCAACAAGACCAGAGTTCCTCATTTCCTAGCTGCTTTCTCCATCATCCTCATTATAGGAGGATAGGCTAGAAAAGGGAGATTGGGAAAAGCCTGGAGAAGAAACAAGTGCTTTCGGTTCATCCCTGTCAGCAAAGGAGGGTCCGGACCAGGGATCCCAGCAGCCATCTTTTGCTCCAGCGCCTTAACACTGACACTCCAGGGAAACTCACTGAGGACCATCCAGGGCTTCAGAGATGTTAATTTGACCCTAAAAGGTTCTGTGAATTGGGTGTTAGAATGCTTAGCTTATGGGTAAACAAACCGAGGCAGGAACCAGGTGGGGAGCCAGAGCCCTAATCCCCTGGCCTCACATGAGGCTACATTCTTCACTGTAGATCACATGCTTAGATGTGCAGGGCATTATTCCTAAACCCCAGTATAGTGGTTGATACCTTGTATCAACTTGGCTGAATCTGCTTGGCGCAGTTCTGGGCTGTAGAGGGCCTGCCCTGGGGTGTGATTGGTTCCACCCTGAGGCATGATTGGTTCCACCCTGGGGAGTGATTGGTTCTGCCCTGGGGTGCTATTGGCTCAACCCCAGGGCACGAAGGGCTGCCCCAGAGTGACTCAGCACAAAAAGTGTACATAAAGGAGTTGAAGAAGGCTGCAGCCGGCCACCCTGCCCTGCTTTCTTGGAGAATTTCCAGTCTTTGGAGGAGCTTGATCTTCACAGCCACACTACCTTGGAGGAGCTCCAATCTTCACAGTGGAGTGCCGATCTTCACAGTCAGCATAGAAGGAAGAGAGAGGCTTG